GTGGTTAAACATCCATATACATAAAAAAGTAAAAAAATCCTGCTCAGTAACCAATATTTTAAAGGAATTTGTTTTTCATTGGTAACAACAGTTGTCTTTTTCATATATTTATTGGCTGTGTAAAATTTCCTCATAAAAGTATAATTAATATCATATCCTTTCCTGTTTAGCTTTTTATTTATAGTAAAAATAGTTCTTGATCTGTCAAGGCTATCAATCCTGTGTTGACCCAAATCTGTGCTTTGCTTGGTCTTTCAATCTTTTAATGTTTTTATATGGCACATTTACTTTTTAGGGTGTTATAATTATTAAGAGTTGCCTTTGTAGTGTCTGATGTTTGTGTGCTCATCAGCTTTATTTTGAAAATGATCATTTTATCAAAAGCCAACTGCAGATTCAATGCAATTCCAATTAAAATGCCACTTTTCATAAACATAGAAGAAGCAATCCAAAAAGTTACATGGCAGCACAAAAGACCAACGATAGTCAAAGCAAACCTGGACCAAAATGACACCATAGAGCTATTGCCACACCCCCTTTCAAACTATACTACAGAGCTGCAATCACAAGAGCAGCATGGGATTAGCACAAGAACAGATGCACCGATGAACGGAACAAAACTGAAAATGCAGGTATAATCCCATACAACAACAACAACTACAATAGTATCTACTGATTTTTTACAAAGATGCTAAAATACACACTGGGGGGGGGGGGGAAAGACAGCATCTTCAACAAGTAGTGCTGGGAAAACTGTATTTTAACATGCAGAAAAATAAAACTAGATTTTCTATCTCACTGTGTATAACTCAAGTCCAATAGACAAAGGACCTCAACACAAGACCTAACACCCTGAAATATCTAGAGGAGAAAGCAGAGGGCATGCCTTAATTTACAACACGGATATGCACTTTCTGAATATACCCCACTAACACAGGAAACCAACAACTAACAGATGGGAGTTCACAAAACATGTGTCCAGTAAAGAAGACAATAAAGTGGGTGAAGAGGCAGCCCACAGAATGGGTAAAAGATCTCTACCAGCTATTGATCAGACTGAAGGTGTCTAGCACATACAAAGCACTTAACAAAGTAAATATTAGGGCAATAAACAACCCAATTTAAAAAATGAATGGAACGAAACAGAAAGTTCTCAAAGGAGAAATGCTAATGACCAGAAGACATATAAATGGTGTGCAACATCCTTAGTCATTGTGGGGATGAAAATTAAGGCAACTTTAAGATTCTATTTTATCCCAGTCAAAATGTCCATCACCAAGAATACAAATGACAACAAATACTGGCATGAATATAGTAAAAGGGCAACTCTTATACACCCTTGGTGGGAGTGTAAATTACTCAATGACTTTGGAAATCAGTTTGAGGTTAAATAAAAAGCAACCCCCCCCAACCCAAACAAAAAACAAAACTATAAATAGAGCTGCCTGTAGCATGAATTGTTAGAAGGTCTTATTAATAAAATCAAATCTAGAGCAAGGTATTGGGGTGAATGCTGGAAGATCAGAGAAGCAGAACAAGCCACAGCTTCCTCACCTTGCTAATTCCTCAGCTGATCTGTTTCCTCAGACTGGAAGCCTCTGAGTCCTCATCCAGAATGAATCTCAGCTGAACTGTTGCTCAAAAGCCTAAAAGCTTAACCCGCTCTATTTCCTGCTTTTCACACCTTATATACCTTTCTGCTTCCTGCCATCACTTCCTGCAACTAAAGGCATGAGTCATCATGCCTGGCCATTTCCAGTGTGGTTTTAAACTCACAGAGATCCGGATGGATCTCTGCCTCCCAAGTGATAGGATTAAAGGCGTGTATGCCATCATTTTCTGGCCTCTATGTCTATCTAGTGGCTGTTCTGTTCTCTGACCCCAAATAAGTTTATTAGGGTGCACAATATTTTGGGGAACACAATATCACCACAGCTGCCATATGACCCAGCTGTGTAACCCCTGGGCATATACTCAACACATTTGCATGTAATCCATGTTTATTGCTGCTTTATTCACAATAACTAGGAAATGAAATCAATCAATTAATAAAATAGATATTCACCAACAGATAAACATATGGAATTTATAAGAATGGCTAAATTTCAGTTCAGCTAATTCAACAATGGCTTGTTGTAAATGGAAAGTTCAAGAATCCAGTAGTCTCTCAGTCACAAGGCTGAATATCTCAGCTGGTCTTCAGTATATGCTAGAATCCCAGAGAAGTGGGCTCTAATGTCAGTGAAGCAAGGCCAGAGCATGCAGGTAAAGAGCAAAAGCTTCCTTCTTTCATGTCCTTATATAGGCTTTCAGCAGAAGGTGTGGCCCAGATTAAAGGTATATCTTCTTGCCTCAAGATCTGGATTAAAGGTTTGTGTCTTCTTACCTCAAAGATCTAGATTAGAAGTAGATCTACCACTTCAAATTAAGTAAAATTCCTCACAAGTGTGTTCTCCATTTTTAAATTTTAGTTAATTCAAGATGTAGTCAAGTTGACAACCATGAACAGCCATCAAAACTCCACCCTTTTGTGGCTCAAGAGGTTTCCGAGGAGAATATTAGTAATTGGCTTATTAGAGACTGTTCTTGTGATATTTTGGTGAAGAACATCACAAGATATTTGCTTTCTGTCCTTGTCCAAGAAAAATCTGTCAATTTTTTTTTTTTCTAAATTGGAGAGTTTTGAACTAATGGCAGTGGAGGGGGATTTAAAAACAGCCTAGTACTGATTGTGTTGCTTGGTTATTAGTCGCCAGTCTTATGCAGATCTATGATGAAAAGGAGCAAGCTGAACAAGGAAAAATACAAAACGTACAGTTTGAGGAGAAAAGTGGCACCAGAAAGTGTAAGGGTGCCAACTCCTGTCCTCAAGGGGGTAAACAGTTAAAGAAGAGCCTGATGATATGTAATAAAGGGTGTGGTGACTTCAAGGCAAGCCCAGTTAAACTTCCAACTTGTGAAAAGGAATTAAAGAAAAATTTATGGCTGAACATAGTATTGCACACCTTTAATCCCAGCACTTAGGAGGCAGAAGCAGGTGGATCTCTGAGTTCAAGGCCAGCCTGATCTGCAGAGCAAGTTCCAGAACAGCCAAGCTTAGGTAGTGAAGGAAACCGTCTACATTAGAGAGCTGGTAAAAATGTGTTTGAATGAAAGGGCCATGTTCCAGCCCCAGCAGGCAGAAGAACTTGTCAGCTTTGGCTACATGGTTCTAGCTTCAGAGTCAAGGATACAAGAAAGGGTTTGTGGAATTTCCTTCCATGGCTAATGAAAGCTGCTGAGGCCAGATGTGTGTCAGGGGTATCCCTGGCTGGAGGTTCAGAGGCATCATTATGTGAAGTTGTGGAGGTGAAGCCTGGATTGCCTTGGAGAACCCAAGATGTTGGAGATGCCACAGTTGTGAGATACCTGCCAAGGAGAGCTGCTAGCAGGGAGTGGACCCAGCCCAAGAGAGAGAAGTGTGCCGCAGTCAACAAAGCTGAAAAGAGTTGGAGATCTGAAGAGTGCTTTGACATCAGACATGGAGATCCAGAGTTGGGAGTTTGCCCACCTGGTTTTAGGCCTTGCTTTGGTCTAGTATTTCATCACTATGCTCCCTTTATCCCTTTTAGAATGGTAATGTGTATCCTGTGTCACTGTGTGTTTGTAGTATGTGATCTGCTTTTTGATTTTGATTTTACAGGGGGTTACAGTTAGGAGACTGCATGAGTCTTAGAAGAGGCTTTGAAATTTGAACTTTTAAACAGTGGTGAGACTGATATAGACTATGGTACTTTTGAAGTTAAGCTGAATCATTTTTGCATTATGATATAGCTATGAGCCTATGGGGTCCAGGGAGTGGAATGTGGTAGTTTGAATAAAAATGCCCCCCATAGGCTCATAGATTTGAATGCTTGGTCATCAGGGGCTGGCACTATTAGGAGGTGTGGCCTTGTTGGAAATGGTGTGACCTTATTAGAGGTAGTGTGTCACTGGGAGTGGACTTTGAGGTGTCAAATGCTCAAGCCAGGGCCAGTGTTTCTCTCCTTTCTCCCGCCTCAGATTCAGATGTAGGACTCTCAGCAACCCTGTCTGTCTGTGTGTCACCATACTCCCCAATATGAGGATAATGGACTAAAGTTCTGAACTGTAAGCAAGCCCCAGTTAAAGGGTTCCTTTATAAGAGTTGCCATGGTCATGGTGTCTCTTCACAATAATAGAACACTGATTAAGACATGGTGTAATAGTGGCATGACTCAAAAGTCTCTGGCTGGGGAGGTCATAGGCCCTGGAGTAAAGTATGCCATTGGTATTTGCTAAATGGTCATGTCATGTAGCTGTCTAAATGTTTGTGTTTATATAGACATTAACTGCTCTCAGTCTTGGTCAGAAAAGCCCCCCCCCCTCCAGTGGGCAGCAGTCAATGGAGAGATGCATAATTGTTCTCATTTGTCTATGTCAATTAAAAATTTTGCCTATATTTAGGATTTTACCTTGAACACTTAAATTATTACCCCTCTGGCTCCTATACTCTATATTGAACATGCTATCATTTTCCATTTGATTTGTACTAACACTCTAGTATATAATATATCATACATTTATTATATAATATATAACTATAATATATTATGTAATAAATTACTGTGTGTTTTTATACCTTCATTTACTAATTAGTTCATGGAGACAGCTTTCCTAAGTCAGTACATTGTCTCCTATGGGTTTAGAATTTAATAAGTAGTAAACATCCTTCCCCTCCTCTTCTTCTTTTTGGTAAAAGTTAGAACTTTCACAGCTACAAAATCCTTCAGAATAACTATAGCAATCTTATAGCACTTTTATACAAACATATTTACTTTTCAAAAAAAACCCACAAACTGCCAAAATTGAAGCAGTGTGAAGAGGCTAGGAGATGCCTGTCCACCTATTGGGTCTCTGCTGCAGCCTCTGGAGAGGATGTGGGAAGAAGCCCTCGCTCCAGGCTTCTTCCTCAGCCAATGGCATCCTGTCCTGCCAGTGACGTCAGAGTGTGACGGTTGGTGTTCACTATCAGCTGGATTAAATTGTTAATTGATGTGGGAAAGTCATCCTAATTGTGCACATTCCGAGGCAGAGGGTCCTGAACTGTGTAAGTGGAGAAGGAGAACGGAGCATAGCACGCTTTCATTCCTTTTGGTTTCTGATTTTGAAGGTGGTGTGACCATCATTTCAGGCTCCCGCTGCTACTGTGAGCTAAAGCAAACCCCCTCTCTCTTCAGCTGCTTTTCTTGTATATTATATCACGACAACAGGAAAAACATGGGGCAGCCACAAAATACAAGCACGTAGTCATCCTTTTCTGATACTCTCACAAACTAGCAGCTCCCCCATCACCTTTCAGAGGCTTCTTTCTTCTGCTGTTTCCCCCTGTGTTGTTGTGGCTGCAACTCCGTCATGAGTTGACCCCACTTACCCTTTATCTGCTTTGAGTTGCTCTAAGTAAGACCTTTATTGCCCCAGTACTTGAACAACCATTTCACACTAAGTATTTCACTTCACAGTAGCCATTTAAATAACTAAGCATCTCTGTGCTTATCTGCAGGGAATATAATGTGAAACATTAAAGATGTGCTACAGACAGAGAGATGCCAAGTATACCGAGGCGCACTTTCTCTGGATAAAAGAAGAATGCTTTGTGGAGGTCTGAATTTCTTGAGATGCGTTTACATGTCATTAGCTTCTGAGGCGGTAAAACTAAGGATCAGCAGCCTCTTATGGCTCAGCTGTGAAATGGCCCCCAATAGACTTTGGTGGTTATAAATTTTTGGTCACTCAGGTGGTGGAAATGTCTTGGGAGATTGTGGAACCCTTGAGAGGTGTGGCCTGGCTTCAGAAAGTGAGTCACTGAGGGGTGGACCTTGAGATTTCCAGCTCAGTTTCCCATCTTGTCTCTGCTCCTGGTCCACTGAAATATGAACAAACAACCTGCTGCTTCCGAAGCTACCAGCCCAGCCACCCACCCAATGCGCTCCCTGCTATGATGTACTGTTATTAAAGCCTGAGCCAAAATGGAGCCTTTCCCCCTGAAGATGCTTTATCGGGGATTTGGTCACAATGATGAGAAAGGTAACTAACTACAGTCAACCTTCTTACCACCTCTTGGGACATTTGTGTCACCGTGCTCTAAAAGGATACAATGTTTATCACTTTAAACATTTTTACAGCTATAGCATAGAGCATGGAAGGACCAGTTTTCATATTTAATTATCACTTATTCTAGTTCTGGTGCCGATAGAATGAAATCCAAGTCATTCTGTAGCTATCATTTCTAACACCACATGTAATTCATTTACTCAAAGGTTTAGAGAGAGAAACTGGAGAGTAACCTTTCCCTTGTATGTTCAGTGCAAATTTAAAATGATTAAATCTTTAAAACAAGATAATGTCATATGTTTTGATGAGATGAGTGAGTTCTTTAATTGGAATTTGTTGACATGGATTTGCAGGATTCTCATTCATTCTTTCATTCATTCATTCATTCATTCATTCATTCATTCATTCATTCATTCATTCCTCACTCTTACTACTTATTGACTGTTTTCACCAAGGCTTTAACTTTCTGGCCTTAAGAACAATGATTCAAAATAAAGATCTTTCCCTTATTCCCAGTGTGTAGTAATTTTTAAATAGTTGCTTTGAGGGAAAACATGATGTGACTCAGAAGTGCAGGGAGAATACTGAAAATGTGGACTTTACCAGCTTCAAGAGTTGTCAGAACCAGTGAGGGACAAGGGACTTGAGGATTGTGCAAGGCAGTGATTTTATGACGTGCCTTGTAGTCCAATGGGCAAGGACAGAAGTGAGGGCATTGGAGTGAGAAACTGGGAGTGAGAATGTATGATCAGGGCTATGAGAACTCCAGGAAAACAGAAGTATTCAAACTGGGATATAAGAAAGGGTAGGGAAAAAAAGGTTTATTACGGAATGGGGAAACTGAAAACACAAAGTAATGTAAGGATTTCGGGTACTGATCATGACAAGGCTTAAGAAATACTTGTAGAGGTGAATGCCTGAGGTGGGGCAGAAATGGAGAACCATGGATATTAGAAAGGTCGTGCGGTTGGATACTAAGGTATGAAGTTTCCAAGAGTTATAATAGGAGTAATGGGCAAACCTAAAAGTCTTATGACAAGAGTGGAGAAAAGTACAAAAAGAAGTGCTCTCTATGGAGGCAGAGAGAAGACAGACATCATAAAAGTCACATGTCAGTCACAGAGTGACAGGGTAAGAGCGTAACTACAACAGGAATATTAACAGACCCAAGAGGATCACCTCACTTTCCAGAACATGGGTGCTTAGACCTCAAGACAAGTTGTGGCTAAAAGATCTTCTTAGACATCATTCCAAGGAAACTTTTGGGCTAGCATCAAAGGGATGCATATATTTCTAGATCGGAAGTAGAATCCCACAGAGGTAAGGTGCACATCGGAAAGCTGCTGTTTCCTTCACATACTCTGATCTGATACCTTGTGCCTCATTTTTGAGGGCAAAATGAATACAGGAGACAAGTTTAAAACCTGAGGCCAACCTCAAGAGGACACCCAACATTCTCCACAAAAGAGTCATTCAAAATGAATCTCACTGGACACCATGGCAAGAAATCATACATGTCTTGATTCCAGCAGTGGATGGAAAAGGAAGTTATTTCTTCAGAAAAATCTCAACTGTAACTCTGTTTGAATTCTTTTACTAACTATTCTTATTAATTCATGATAAAAAGAAGGTATATGGTCCATATGAGGAACACTGAAATACATAAAACAAAGAATAAAAACCAAGCCTAGAAAGTTGAAGCTGTGGTTTAAGCGTCAGGAGCTGCGGCGGAAGCTCCCTGAGGAAAGGAATTGCAGACCTCACTTCAAAGAATTACCACTCGACATTCAGAAGAAAAATAACTCACAGTAATAACTACACACCACCCAAGAAATCTATGTCCCTTGGGAGAGACCTGGCAGAAAAACAAGACAGACATAGAAAGATTCCAATTTCAACATTATTACTTATACAACACAAAATGTTTAATAGTTTCCAAAGAGCTCCTTAGAAGTGTAGTCATCTTGAGGGGCTGATAGTGGGGGATGGTGTCCAGGACCCCCGGGAGACACCGTTGTCTGAGGATGTTTGATTCCTTCACATAGAATGAAGTGCATGCTAACTGATTTAAACCATGTTTGGTTACTAACAAACTGAGTATCCATCACACATATGCTTGGAACTGGATGTGCTTTAAATGCAGAATTTTCATTCCTTTTCTGCTTTCTTTTCCTTTTGGAATAGCTGCACATGTTTTCTACTGAGCATCCATGATAAAAAAAAAAATAATCCTAAGTCCTTCAAAACCCAACGTTGTTTCAGTTTCAATTCTTAAAAAGTGTTAGAATTTTGAGCACTTTGTGTTTTCATATTAGGGGCTGTGCAACCCACACTCAACACAGTGTGAATGATAGGTAAACAGTTATCACACTCTCTTTTTAGAATAATGGTTTGGTGTTCAGTACAGAGGCACATTGTTTGAAATATTTTTAATCTGTGGTGGCTTGAACTTGAAGGTCTAGAGGTCGGAACACCACACGCAAGAGCATCACCCCCATATGTTCCTATAAATTCCCCAAATTAAAAATAAAATTCTACTTATACCTAGACACAGTGCAGATATCTTCAAAACACATAAAAACACAAAAAACATGAAATTTAAAAAACAGCCTAGGATTCAGTATTTAAAAAGCATTTATACTGGGAGCCAGTATTTCAGTAACATTTATGGAAGCAGGGTAGACTAGCATTTTAAATACGGTGAGCAATCATGAATAATAGAGAACTGGAAACACAGTGAACTGTCTCTCAGTAAGATGAAGAAATTTTAAAAATTACACCCAGTTCCTGAGCGAATACACCACTAATACACCGGCAATAAGCAAAGTCCAAATATATATCAAAAAAGGAAAGAAGATGCGTACACATACCATAAGAAATATCTTATTAAACAGGCTTATAAATTAATCCAACGAGGAACACTACAAATAAAATTACACTTAATTTATTGAAGAATAACTGAAATGCTTGCTATTATTTATAATTCCAATGAGAGGTCATAGACAATGTTTTGTGATATTAGAAAAGATGCTACATCTGCTCATAAATACTAGAATTTGTTACACATCTGTTACACAATATACATGACTACTAAAAGAATGGACATATTTTACAGAAGAGCAGGGCGAGAAAAGTGAAACCAGGAGACATTTAAAACCAAAGTCTAGCATGCCAGCACCTGATTCTTTATAAAAACAGAAACCACTTAGGAAAACAGGTTAACTTATGAATTCAATATAAAGCCAGTAATAATCCACATTTTTTTGAAACTTCATGAGCACTGAGTAGATTTGTAACTGTTGTTGGCTCTGCTTCCATCCTTCCCTTCCCTTCCTTAGGTTCTGTGTCACGGTTCCCATGAGTGCAGTGGCTGACTTTTCTCTGCTCCCTGTGACATTTGGTATAAAAAGAGGTGATTTTAAAAACCAGAGAATTTGATAAAATTACCTGTTGGGGTGAATTCTTTTCTTGAATAAAGAAAAGTTGTTGATAGTGATACTGATTTTAGAAGTTATCTAGTGTTTTTTTTTATTTCATTTTGAGTCAATTGTGGTGGTTTATACTATTCTACAAATGTCTCCATTATAGCTAAGCTTTTGTCTTTAAACCTATTTCCATCCATGATTTTACAAATGAAGAGAGAAGGAAGATTCAAAACGTGTCTTCTGTTAGCGATTTGAGAATGTGCACCAGTATAGAAAGCAATGGTATTGAGGAAGCAGAAGAGATGGGCCAGTTTTCAGACGGCTGTGCCACCCAAACACATTCCTTTTCCTGGTACTCCTTGATAGAGGATGTATGGGCACACGACTGTTGCAAGCATTTCTAAGTAAGTGGAAGTGGCGTATTTAACTTTTGAAATACTCATCAGAAGAGAGCTGAGATTTGGGTCAGTGAGTACAATGCTCATCCGGGATGCACAAAGCTTGAGTTCAGTTACCAGTACCACATACAATTGGACAAGGTGGCATACTCCCATTTCCCCAGAACTCAGGAAGTAGAGCCAGAAGGATAGCGAGTTCAGGGCCATCCTTACTCACCAGCCAGCCAGCCAGCCAGCATAGGCTACAGACCCTGTCTCAAAAAGAAAAAAGAAGAAAGGAAAGAAAAGAAAAAGTGCTGCACATCTTAGTTTCTTTCCCTTCCTGGTGCTGCTAGCTGGAATGGAAATGTCAACTTCAGCTGATGAAGTGATTTTAGGAATGGAGTCTTGTCTAGAGGGACCAGTCAGCTGTCGAGAGGGACCAGTCAGCGGAATGCTCATCACTTCTTGAGGTCTTTGTGGAACGAAGCTGCTGTTTCTCCTGGACTTATTTTCCTGAATTTTAACACAAGAGAAAGAAAGCTCAAGTCCTTTTGGTGCTGTTATTGGGAGGTTCCAAAGTACTTGTGGATGACCTTAATCAAATCCACAGAAAAAACGCTTACAGGACAAGCTCCTACAGATACAAAGGATGTTTCTCTTCATCCTATTCACATATGTTTTCCAACTGTGAGACCAAGTCTGACTTGAACTTTAAGTATAATTAATGCATTGACTGACTTGAATATTGGAAAATACAAAAAGAGAAAGAGATCAAAGATAATCACAATCCTTAGACAATTACTGTAAGTTTTGATGTATATTTTTATATCAAATCAAAACTAATCTTCTCTTCCTTGACAATGGTTAGGGAGCCAACCATGACTACTGATAAGAAGGAAGAGATCTGGGATAGCAAACATTTTTTCAAAGTCCCCCTTTCTACTCAGAGATAAATTTGATTTTCAAAAATATCATTTCATGTACTAAAAGGCCCCAAAGTGGGCTAATGCATTGGGCTTGGGTGGAAAAGTGAGTTTTCAACTATAGAGTGAGTTTTCATGCTCTAAAACTTGGTAACCTTTCCTTGTAGATTGAAAGATTCGAAGATGCTTGTCCTGTGAGCAGTGATGGTCCCGTGGAAGCCATTAGTCTAAAGGTCAGTACACTGTGAGGTACCAATTCTAGTAAGTGGAGTCTGTGATTAAAAAAGAGATGAAGAATAAAAGGAGAGTGTAGAAAAGTGAATTCTCCTGGTCCAGTTCTACAGAGGGGCTCTACAAAGTTCCAGCCATGAACTCCTTGAGTTCATCTCTGAGCTCACTGTAGGTGATTAGAAATACTTACTATATATATATGAAAATATGTCATATATTTTCATCACATATACATAATATTTGTTACAAATTTTGTGGACAATTTTATATATGATATATGTATATATGACTTCTTATCTATGTTTGAAAGTTTCATAGCTTGAGTAATAGTCATGGTCACATACTCTGGGCTAGTTTCACTAATGAGACAGTCTTTATAAAGTTAAAATAAAACAATCCTAGATCTATCAGTGATGTTTATTAAAATGAAGTTGTCACAGGCTGCTTCTTAATCATATCAGTAAAATTAACAACTAAATAAAAAGGATGTAACTCAATGGTTAAATGCTTGCCTAGAAGGGATGGGACCATCAACCTATGCACACACACACACACACACACACACACACACACACACAGCAACTTTTCTACAAATGTTCACATAGACCTTACTTAAAAGATACAGTGTCCTCCTCATGTTGGATTCATTGACGAGGTGAGAGGCAATAAAGCGAATTACTGTCAATGTATATATTCACACACATTGTCCAAATCATAGTCCAAAACTTGCAGAATCATCTGTTATTTATTCATTTATAAATGACATTACTGTATTTATATTTGTGGTTTGAATATATATTTTGTATTTTTTGTTCTATGAAAGTGGTACAGATATGGTTTAAAAATTTAAACATATAATATAGCATGCAGTAAAATGTCCATGCTCATTGCTCAGCTAACCCTTGGGCTGTCATTTCCTGGCACAGAGCATCATCTCTCTTGACATCTTAAGATAGCTTACTCCAGAGAGAATGTACAGTGGTGGACACTGAACCCAGGGACTTCACACAAGATAAACTCTCAACTCCTGAGCTACATCACTGGTCCCAATATGTTAAAACTTTCCCTCAGCATTTTGTGTGTGTGTGTGTGTGTGTGTGTGTGTGTGTGTGTGTGTGTGTAAAAGCTGGAGGTTGGCATCACATGTCTTCCTTTCTTTCTGTACACTTTAGTTTTTGAGACAGGAGTCTCTCACTGAACTTGGAACTTGCTACATTGACTAGGCAGCAGGTCTCCAGAATCTGCATGTCTCTGCTTGTCCCCACCAGTTGGGGTTGTAAGTGCACACCACCAAGCCTAGCTTTTACAGAGGTGTTGGCAATCTGAACTCAGGTCCTCATGATTGGCCAGCAAGAACTTTACCTACTGAGCCACACCCACAGCCCATCCCTTAGGAATTTTCATGCTATGTTATCTTGTATATGGCTAACCATAACTATTGGACTTTCCTGTGACTTACGTCATTTATCATTATACAATGCCTTTCTAGTATTATCTAGTGCTTCTTTGCTGTGAATCAACCTTGTCTAAAATCATAGCGTCCATGTAGTTTATAATTTCATTTGCACGACACTCCATGTTTATTGTGGAGGCACCTTCTGGTTGAATTTTTATTGAGTCAGTCTGAGAGTCTCCCCAGAGAAGAGCCTGCAGCACGTACCTTGTGTGTGTTTTCACTGTGCTGTTTTCTTTCAGTTCTGGCATTAGTTCTGCTCTTGCCATTTATACTCTGACCCACTGTCTGGGTTCACTGTGGCTTATTTCTACATATTCTCTTTTCTTAAATGTGTATCTTTTCATCTTAGCTTCTATCCATCACCTCTGAGCACTGTTCACATAGTGCCAGCTGAAATTAAATTCTTAGTGAAGAGTTCTCAAGAGCGCTGCATTATTTGAAACCAATCTCAAACCCACTTAAGATTTCCCCAACCTTTCCATCAAGAACCAAGCACAAGACAGCTAAATAATTGTGCTTCTGGTACTATTTCTAAAAAGGAGTGTGGCAAGTGTGCAGCCCTGTCTCCTTCCTGATTTTAATGGGATTGTTTTGAGTTTCTCTTCATTTAGGATAATGTTGGCTGGGGAATGCAAATTGGTGCAGCCACTCTGGAAATCAGTATGAAAATTCCTCAAAAAAATAAAAATGAATCTACCATATCGCCACATATACCACTCCTAGGCCAATAACCCAAACACTCGACATGCTATCCCAGGACAGTTGCTGTGCAGTGCTTGTAGCTCTCTATTCACAGTAGCCAGGAAATGCAAACAACCCAACTGTCCTTCAGCAAATGGATGGATCATGAATATATGGTATGGTACACATACATAGTGGGGTACGATTCAGCTGTACAGAAAAATGAAATATTGAAATTTGTAGGTAAATGGATGAACCTAGAAAAGATTATAGTGAGTGAGGTAAGTAAGGCAAATTGCACGTTTGGTCTCATCTACAACCCCTGGCTCCAGATCTTCAGATGTGAGCATACAGTGTGCAGTAACAAGGAAAGTATAAAAGGCCACGGATGGGGGAGGCTTCAGTGAGTAAGAGTGGGATATGGATGACGTGAAGTGGGACATGGAAGAAAGGGGAGGGCGCTCCAACTGCAGAGGAGGGAATGATGAAGGAAAAGGAGGGAAGAAAAGGAGGGACAAATAAGACCAAATTTGTTTGTTTTTGGTTTTTTGAGACAGGGTTTCTCCTTGTAGCTTTGCACCTTTCCTGAAACTCACTCTGTAGCCCAGACTGGCCTTGAACTCACAGAGATCTGCCTGCCTCTGCCTCCTGAGTGCTGGGATTAAAGGTGTGCACTACCACTGTCTGGCCCAAATTAGTTTGATGCAGCCTCCAGGAACAATATTTCATGTTTACCTAAAATTACACACAATACATTTAAGTGTGTATACACACATATATACACACATATACACATACAGATACAGATACACACATCTTTTTTCCTTTTTTATTATCTAAAACAATTTTTAAATTTTAATATATTTTGATCATATTTTCCCCTCCCTGTCTACCCAACTTTAAGTTCTTTCTCAGAAAAACAAAAAACAAAAACAAAACCCAAACCAAATAACAAAACCAAGAAAACAAGACAAAACAATACCCAGACAGGAAGAAAAAGCCCACCAAACTATATGAAATAAAACCACACACACACATACAACTGTGAAGTCCATCATATATTGGTCAACTGTTGGGCCCTGACCCCGGTTCCTTGAGTAGCTGTTGCGCTTGCTGACCTTGATCCTAAACAGCTCACCAGAGGTTCCTTGTTTGTGTATCCTGCATATTGGTGGGAACAGCTAGGATGCAAGAATGGAAAACATCTGTAGCAAACTTCTGCCCCCTGGGATTCTCCCACTGTGCTGTAAGCCTGTATTTAAGGCCTCTTCCCTCCTTCAATGAATGGCATTCTACTGAGATGAATGACCCGCTGTCTTGTCTCTGTTTTAATCCTCAGCCCCTCACTGGGACATGGTGGATGGGTAGTAGCACAGGTGCTACAGTCAACTACTCCTGAACATGAGGCGTCATATCCTGTGTTACTCCATTGGAGAAAACTGATTTCCCCTCTTCCGGTAGGTATAAATGACAGTTCAATTGTTAACCTTTACCCTAGTGGCTAGGTTTTCATTCATTCATTCATTCATTCATTCATTTGCTTATTCATTTGTTTTTTTCAAATAGCAAATAAAATATTATAAGATAAAACTAACATCTTGGAGTTGGACAGGACAAACCAACAGAAGGAAAAGAACCTAAGAGAAGGCACAAGGATCAGAGACCCATTCAGTCTGCACACTTAGGAATCTCATAAAAACACTAAAATGGAAGCCATAATATATATGCTAAAAACCTGGTACAGACTTGTGCAGGCCCTGAGCATGCTGTCTCTGTCTCAGTGAGTTCATGTGAGCTTTGCTCATATTGATTTAGAAGGCCTTGTTTTCCTTGATGTCCTCCATCCCCTCTGGCTCTTAAATCCCCCCCCCCCTCAATTTTCAAGACAGGATTTTCTGTCTTGAACTCACTCTGTAGACCAGGCTAGCATCAAACTTACAGAGATCTGCCTGCCTCCCCCAATATGTAGACTATGTAGCCCTTGGTTTTCTTTCAGGGTTGAGGGTGGGCCCCTATTACTGAAGATACTTCACACTTAGCACACAAGACTGGGATAATTGGAGCAGGATCTGACCTGAAAGTAAGTCTCTTTCCTTCAGTCTAGTCTCCAGGCTACCAGTGCAGGCTGCCAAGAGAGGACAGCAATGAACCAGTCTCAGCCACATGTGACCCCATGGCAATGGCAAGTATGGAAATATTCATAAGGAGGCAATAGCTGGCATTCACATGTCAATGACAACCAACAGCTGTCTGATTGGATTAAAGATCCACTCAGCAGGAGGAAAGTCATGTCTGGTACTAGAAACTAGCCAGCTTCCCCAGGCTAGTGAGGTCTAAGAATCTACTACTACCATTTTACTAGACCAGCATTATTCTTTAGTACATTCTAAATCTTACCCTTATACCTAAGATACATGGAGCTACCACCCTTCATCAAAGAATCCTCTCTTTACAGCAAATGGAGACCATCATAGAAAAACACAACTGGACACAACTGCAGAAATCAATGGATTGTGGGGAATCCAGCCCCAATGGATACCTCTACAGAACAAACAGCTCCTACATCTATGGCTCGGGGACCATTGAGAAGAGGGGGCAGGAAGACTGTAAGAGATAGAATGCCAGGAAGTCTTCTGTGACACAGTCTCTCTAGAAATGGCTGTGTAAACAAGACCAGAACAATGGCAGTGGACATGTTCACGTGGAAGGAGTCCTGGCCCTAGTGACAGAACTGCAGGCAACTAACGGCTGCTGAGAGAAGGGGAATTAGCCTTTCGCAGTGACAAGTCCCCTAACTGTCGTCCAGTGTACAATGATCAGCCCTGAAATCATATACAAAGAACAACAAGAAAGGACTTAGCCAGGCAGTGATGGTGCACACCTTTAATCCCAGCACTCAAAGGCAGAGGCAGGCAGATCTCTGAGTTTGAGGTCAGCCTGGTCTACACAGTGAGTTCAGGATCACCAAGGACAGAGAAACATTGCCTTGAAAAACCAAAAAAATAAATAAATAAAAATTGGACTGAGCAGGTTTTGTTTATATATTTGTTCATACACATTCATACTTGTGCAAACACATGTATGTATGTAATAATTATAAGCACAGTAAAAGAGGCTACCTATTTGACAGTGAGGGGGCATTAGAGGGGCTGGATGGAGGAAAGGGGGGAAGTGATGTAATTTTATTTCAATTAAAACATTTTTTAAAAGTGCATCAGTTTTAACATACTATGCATAAGTTTTTAACATAAAAACTTCAGAACTAGAAAGCAGAATCTCATTAAATATTACCCAGAAAAAACAACTGTAACAATGACCAGGCAAAATAAAGAAAAAAGAAATACAAACCAAAGAACTTTAGAAACTTCATAGACTGAGGGAGCGAATAGAAAGAGTGAGAAGGAAAGAGCAGGGATTCCTAATCAAAGTCTAGTCAGTTTTCTGGGGTGGGGATAATAGAATAGGTGAAAAGTGCTACTCAAAATTCTACTCAAGGAGATGCTTACAGAAACAATGGAAACAAACTCTTAGATTTATAAAAAAAAAAAACAAAAAAAAAACTCTTAGATAAATAAAAAAAAATCTTAAACAAGATAAAGAAAAATAAAGTGATACCTAGATTGTAGTTTTTTGTTTTTGTTTTTTAACTCTTTGCTCTTTACTCTTTGGTTGGGATGGCCACCCACCTCCCAAATAATCACAGAGACTTTTTTTTTTTTTGATTTTTCGAGACAGGGTTTCTCTGTGTAGTTTTGGTGCCTATCCTGGCTCTCACTTTGTAGACCAGGCTGGCCTTGAACTCACTGAGATCCGCTTGGCTCTGCCTCCTGAGTGCTGGGATTAAAGGCGTGTGCCACTGCCACCCAGCAGAGTCTTATTCTTACTTATGATTGCCCGGCCTTAGTTTGCCTTGTTTCTAGCCAGCTTTTCTTAACTTAAATTATCCCATCTATCTTTTTCCTCTGGGCGTTTGTCTTTATTTCTGTATATTTTTCTTTACTTCTTACTCCATAGCTTGCTGTGTAGCTGGGTGGCTGGCCCCTGGAGTCCTCCTCTCCTCCTTTCGCTCCCTGGTACTTCTTCCCAGATTTCTCCTATTTATTTTCTCTGCCTGGCAACCTCGCCTATCCCTCTCTCCTGCCTAGCTATTGGCTATTCAGCTCTTTGTTAGACCAATCAGGTGTTTTAGACAAGCAAAGTAACACAGCTTCACAGAGTTAAACAAATGCAACATAAAAGAATGCAACACATCTTTGCATCATTAAACAAATGTTCCACCGCATAAACAAATGTAACACATCTTCAACTAATATTCCACAACACTAGATTAATAGTGAATATTTAGACTGCCAAAGACCAAAAGAGGTTATGAAAAGTGGAGAAAGCAAACACACACACACACACACACACACACACACACACACACACACACACACACAGGAGAGAGACAGAGACAGAGACAGAGAGAAAGACAGAGAGAGACAGAGAGAGATCATCACAATGCTAAAAGAAAATAACTTTCAACCTTGACTTGTATATCCACTGAAAAATCTTCTAGGATAAGCTCAACACATTACTAAAAAGCCTAAAGAGATTTCTAGGGACTGGAGAGATGGCTCAGAGGTTAAGAAGACTGGCTGTTCTTTCAGAGGAATTCAATTCCCAGCAATCACATGGTGGCTCACAACCATCTATAATGGGATTTGGTGCCTTTTTCTGGAGTGTGGACAAAAGACTGCATACATAATAAATAATTCATTTAAGAGAGTTATTTGTTTTTAAGAGAGATTTCTAGAAGAACTGCAAAGCAAAGGAAACAAAGAAGATCCCCCAATGAAGAACGAAGAAGCAAGAAAAAGTGTTAAGAGACTAGCTGCCTTTAGGAGATCTGCCCAATGCACTAGGTGCAGCATTAAAAATTTTTTAATGAGAGCACTGTAGGACAGGGGCTGTTTTTAAACACAGTTGGCAAAACGCTGCTAATTAATGCTAGGTAGACAGTATAGCTAGCCTCTTTGCAGATGTAGTTAATGAACATAATTATCACCCAGCCTCTCAATTTCAATAACGTTTTGTTTATAACTTACTAAAACTAACTCATTGTGTGGATAAAAAGTTATTTGTTATAATAATATTCATCCAAATGGAAATCCAGTAAGTACAAGTTCTTGAAATATGAAGGTTTTAATTACTCTTTAATAACAATAGGAACCAGAGCCATACCCAAATATATGAGGATTGGTCTTTTAAATCTTGATGTATTTGAATTAAAGACCAGAAAATATGGCAGGAATATGGTATAATACCCAGTCATATCATTATTAAATTATACTTCCCTAACTAGCATGATGAAATTCCAAGATTTCCTTTGGTTTATTATTTTTTTAAACAAGTCATTATGATGGCGTCATGAAATCATTTCTAATCCAGTGGAGCCAGCCATTACTACCATTTAAAATACAGTTATGATTTTCAGCAGTGGTTTACTAATGATATTAACTAGGAATTTTCTTGCAGAAGCAATCTATTCATGGCACCACTTCCCACCGTGAGCTTGTTTGTGGCTTTTAAAATGGGATCTGTTTCACTGCTCCTTTCTTCAGGACATACATTCCCACTGTTATCATAAATGAAGGCAGAGAACTGATTAGAATGTAGAGTTACTCCCCAAATTATTTACTCATGACAACCAGAGTCACAAACAGGGAAGGGAGAGCCCACTGCAACCAGAGGATATATGTTTCCAATCTACAAAATCCACACTCTGGCCTCCAAATCCTTCGGTAACTGCTTTTCTATTCACGTCTATCTCCGGGGTGCATGTAAATAATGAAAGATAATCAATAAAAAAATTAATGTCTGTAGTAACACAAACTCTTTCAACAACAATAATAATAGTAATAGTAATGAAAGACAGCCTGTAAGTAGGGATCAAGCAAAGCAGTTTTTCGTTTTGTATCTTGATTGTGAAGGTGAAATCAAAATGTGATAAGCAGCCTTGACCTACGCCCACTCTAAACAGTCTCCGTGTCTGCTTTTCTTACCAAACCACAGTTGCTTAAGATATAACAAATGAGAGGACAGTCTCTCCCTCTATTTTTTTGGAGGGAAATAGAAAATCTTGGTTGGTCCTAAGACAACAAAACCTCAAACAAACAAAAAGTAAAAAACAAAACAAAACAAAACCCAAAAACTAAGACACTGTGAGAACAGATCTGTGGTGGAGGATCTCCAAGACGTCTCTGCATTCTCTCCCTAACTTCATGTCAATCTGTAATTATAAATGTATCTATCATGTGGTGCAAGCTTGGCTCTTGTCTCCATTCTGAGGGCTCACCACCTCTACCAGATTTTTCCTCTTCTTCCCAATGCCAGCTGGCTGTGGCAGAGATTCTTCTGGCTGAGCGCACAGATACAACACCCTAGAGCCTGTTTGTGTCTCAGCAAAGCAGATATTGAAAACCTATGAAAGGGGCAACTTGAGGGGATAAGGAACCCGAATCACATTGGTATTACCTGTCAGTTCCTCCCTACCACAGTTAAAGAGTAATACCTGCTGCCTATCAAACCCCCGAGTCCTTTGCGCACGCAGTCTCACTGAATCCTCTCTAGCCAGCACGGGGCTGGAAGGCTCACACTTCCATATATTCCACCACAGAGGGAGGCACTAGATCGTCCTCTTCAGAAACTGGGCATTCATTTCATCTCCATTCCCCACAAAAATATTCGAATAGCCAGACAGAAACTCAGAGAATTTACAAAGGAGATTTAAAAAAGTAAAAAGGCACCTTAAGTATTAAGATTTTTGTTTCACAAGTGCTGGACATTGGTCATGTATTACACAGAGAATATCTCACTTGAGATATTGTTGAGATTATTCCCCTTAATTTAGAAAACTGGTCATGCTATCATTATTTCCCCTCCCTTGACAGAGGAGGAAATAGTGGCATAAAAAGGCTAAGGACCTTGTCTAGACTGATAGAAGACCTGAGATTTGAACCCGAGAAGTCCCAACTCAAAGCTCCTACTTATAACAACTTTGCTACTCTGCCCATTACCAAAGACATCATGACACAATGAAAGTAACATCTCTTGGTACCATTAAGGTATTGTGTTCCTTGTTCAAGACCCAGAGTTTCAAATGATGGAACTCCAGAGTTTATTTCTCCATCTACTCATATG